CCTCCCCTCCCCTCCCCTCCCCTCGAAAGGCTTTCATGGCACTGATCTGCCCAAAGTACAGCCTACACCCTAAACTCGACCATTCTTCCGTGGGCCGTACACAAATTTTCTTCTTGTCTTTGAAGTGGCCAGAAGGGCCGGCACTCGTCAACACATCCTGGGTGATGGATCAGATCTGGGCATCTTGCATTGCGCAACTTGGGCTTCGGCGAAATCTGAGATTGTCCTGATGTCATTACACAAACATGCGATTTGATCGCCTTTCGAATGTCATGTTGACGCACCTGGGCGGTGGCAAGAACGGCTCAACGCTCCGTTTCACAGTCGAACGCGGGTCGCGCGTTCAGGTCGACTAATAGGCGAATTACCAATGGCGGACGATGACAACGTGATACCAACAGTTTCACTTTCACTTGTTTCTTCGCGGTGTCTCAGAAATCTGAGTCGCGAGTGCCGTTCGCATCGCGTTGTTTCTTCTTTGAGTGTGCCGCGACCGGGTGGGGGCGGCAAGTTGCTCTGCTCTTTCCTTAATTTCTGACCATGGAGAGGCAGGTCTAGAACCCCCTAGATTTCTGGCAATGTGTCTTTGCGTGTTTGTTGGCGATGCATGTGGTAGGACAAAGTTTGGACGGCTGCGAAGCCTCCGCATGCATCTCGATCGACAAGTGCTCTTTGCCGAGTGATTGTTAGCAGCATGAAATATTTGCCACATTGTTGTGCAAGACAGCTGAGGACTGAGATTCTTGGCGCGGGAAACATCAGCAAGACCACTGGAGGCACTGGCATTTTCAATGCCGAAAATTTGCATGTGCGCGCAAGGCCCCATGGAGCACAGACGGTGTGCTCGGCTGAGCTGAGCAACTGATCCGTCTTTGTTGCATTGGTGCCGATGTGCGCCCTTTGAAGAAGCCACATATGAGCTTTTGAATCGGTTTGTCTGTGGACCACTGCGATGCAAACTTGTGCTCATTTGATGGCACCGCAGTGTGCAAGCGTTTGGTTGCTTGCACTAGGGCCGTTCCGACGTTGCCGGCTGTAGCTGTGCAAATGCACATGCTAGATTCTATATCTGTCCTAGAACCAGAGTCTTCCGCTGCAGTCAATTGCAAGGCTTGCCCATAAGACGGGCTAGCAGTTCCTTTCTCCACGTTCCCATGCCCGGCTGTGAGGTCAAGTTGTAACATAGCGAGGTGACCTGCTTAGATCTATGTATGACCCAAACACTGCTGGGTAGCTTCGCTGCTGACGGCGGTTTCAGAGCCTACGACGATGTGCATCGAGTAGATTGGTTGACTTGCAAGACGCACCTTTCCGGAGCCGTGCTCTCTGTTCTCTCGCATGAAGTTGCGACAAATGAGAGTCTCGATTGCTATCCGTTCCTGTTGCATCTCCTCTTGGGGCCACTGGCACAGACGCTGCATGAGCAATTCCACACAGCCCAGACCCGCAGATAGCGAGCTCGACAGCTTCCAGAGGTATTTTGGCTCAGAGTAGTGGCAATGGATGCATGTTGCCGGGGAGTTGAGTTTTCAGGGGCTCACCAGGCCAGGCGAGGGAGTTGCATTTCCTGTCGAAGGAGGTGAAGGCCTGTGCGGCGCAGGTTACCCTGCCTCCTCCGCCCGACTTTTGATGTCAGCATGCCAGACACAGGCTGGCTCGTCTTGCCAACATGAAACTGTGACACGGTGCCCTCCAGTCTGCAAGGTGAAGATTTGTGAGCCAGGAGGAAGTGGAATCCTCCTTCCGCTTTTCGGGGACGAAGAGCAGGCAGTGAGAGTGGTGCTTCAGGGCAGAGTGGCAGAGGCATCAGATCAGCTTGTTGCAGGAATGGCGCAAAGGATTGAGAGCGGTTCTTTATCTGCTCGGCTTGCTCTGGTTGTTCATGGCCGTCGCGACTGTTTCTGACATCTTTATGGGCACAGGGCTCAAGCCGTTGACTTTTCAGTTCAAGAGCACCGGTGCGTAGCCAAATTCTCAAGAGCTTCTGAGAGCTGAGGTGCCATTGAAGAGATCACATCAAAGAAGAAGAGAGTCCTGAACGCTGCAACGGGCAGACACTTCACGGTGAAGGCTGGTGATGCTATTTCAATCCGGGATTGATGGTGAAGCAGTGCCAGGTTTGGAACGATACCGTGGCGAACCTGACACTCATGGCTCTGGGGTCCAGTGCACCAGAAATCCTCTTGTCAGCCAGGGCCCTCAGTGGTCTACTGTAAAGTCTAAATGGGGGTATCACGTCACCTGCGATGTGTAATATTGCAGCGGCATAGGTAATCGAGCTGCTCGGGAACAGCTTCTACAGTGGAGATCTTGGGCCATCTACCATAGTAGGCCGAGTCGTGTGAAGCATTTGCAGTCCCGGAAATACCTTGCTGAACACCATCTGAATGTAGGCAGTGCTGCCTTCAACCTCTTCTGCATCTCGGGGGTGTGCGTGATGGCCATTCCGGACAATGAGGTGTGAGGATGAACCCCACTCAAACTGGATCAAACATCTGGGTGTTTCGAGACGTTGATGGACGTTGAATCCAGTCATCCTCATTGATGGCAGGTGAGGTATATCAAGGACACGAATGTTTACCTCGTTACAGCCGTCATTTCCTTGCTTGCGTACCTATGGCTCTCCTCTCAGCTTCCACACATGCGCAGGGTGACAGAGCGAGAGCTATCGAAATTCTCGAGACTGTGGATCATCTGTTCTGTAGTCTTGCAGTTTAAGGCTCTACCTCGTGGTGTCCGTGATTTCGCAGGACCGGATTGTTGAGCAGAGATGGGCTTTGCAGCAGTTGGCAAACCAGCTGGAAGAGTTACGTTTGAGCACTTTTCGGGTTTGAAGGACATGGTGGACATTTTTGAAGGCAGGAAGTCGCACGGTGGAAGCTGCCCCACAGACCCGCGACATATTTCCTGCACAGTGCAAGAGTGAATTTGAGCACAGCCTTGGTATTCTGTAAGATACACGAAACCTTGCACAAATAGATAAATAAGCAAATCAATGAATATATGTCAATATATCTATGTATGTATGTATGCATGTATGTATGTCTGTACTCATGTATAAAAAAAGCTCTGGCTCGGGCCTGATGTGAAGAGATTTGGACATTTGTACAACGCCGCCATGTCAGCTTGTCATGGGATCATGCCCCCTGCGTGCCTGTCTGCTGGTCCAGCTATTTCAGCGGGAGTGCCTCCGAACCTTGTGGCCTGGGCCTCTGAGTGGTAGCTGCAGCTTCGAACTCGCACTCGCTTTCCACTGTTAGTGTATGCGTCGTGCGCAACACAAGCTATGCATCTGCAGGGTGTCAGTCCATGTCCGTTTGACAATCAGCCTGGGACCCTGCCGGTAGCATTGCCAAAGTTGGCATCTTGCGAGAGAACAGATACGTGGGCGGGTCTCCTGCGCCTAAGGCCTCCCGGTCCCGCAGTATCAGGCGCCGATCTACGGCTTTCGCACGTCACGTCTGGGCGGAGAGATCCAGATAGCGACAGCATCGAGAGAGCCTCGTAAGAAGACACGTCAGAAGCAGGTGTATGGAGCAAGGCAAGGCGAGCGGGCCTCATCTCCGCCGCCGAAGCCGATCACCATGCTGCCGCAGACTGGTGTCCCCACTGCCCGCAGACCGCCGCATTCAGGCCGTGACGCCCTCCCTGCCATCGCCGGCGCTACCTTCACCAGTTTTGCCAAAGGCAGGCTATCCACCGGCAACTCCGATGCCCTGTCTCAGCCCGCACCTGTGGCCAGCTACGACGACGAGCACGACCTCCTCATCGTCGCCATCCGCTGAGAGCAGGTGGGGGCGGGAACATTGCCTTGGACTCCGACTGCGCCAACGTTGGCTTCGGATACCAGTGGCACGCTGGTCCCTGTGCCACCAACCAAGGTGACAGTGTCTACGGCTCCTGGGGAGACAACACCGACAGCTAAGGCTGAGGCAGCAGCAGAGACACCGTTGGTACCGACCATCCTGGCTGACTTACATAGCTTGCCACTAAGCTGGCTTCGCTTTGTCCCCTACGATGCACCGCCGGACGAAGCACAAAATATCCGTGCTACCTCCAGCACGTCAGCGCTGCCACGACAGTGCCATGTAGCTGATGACCTTTTGTCTTGGGCCTGTGTCCCAGGTCAGTTTCTCAGCTGCCAGATCCACGCCGTAGTGGACGGTTCCACTGCCCGGATCCTCTTCCCCAGGTGGACAGCTCAGCGATGCACCTTGCAACTCACTTTCGGAGGCATACACTGGTAATGCCTGTTGGAGCTTGGCATCCTCGAGATCCAGGCCACCATCAAAAGGCAGAATGTTCTTTGCCGAACACCACCTCACCTACTGCCATTTGCGAAGGGGCGCGGTTGGCCACAGCCTGTGGAAGCGAAGGCAGTGGACTCAGCTGTACCGGCAGCATGATGTGCATGTGTTTCTTTTGTGTCAATCTGTACGTCATGCCAAGGGCAAGGCTACCAGGCCTTCAGGGGCGATGGCAGATGCGTCGACTTGACAGCACGGGCATCACAGTATGTAACGCCGCATCGACGTATCTACGTCCGATCCACCCACTTTTGGCATTCCTAGCACTGCGGCATGCTCAGCATTATCGCGCTGGATTGTCTGCCTAGGCGCCCTCCTCATCATCCACTTGAAAGGTTTCGTAGTGATGGGCTTGTGCACACCGTCAAGGATCAGGCCTTTCCGGACATTCATGAAGTATTGCGCATGCCGACGTTTGTTGATCCCACCACCCTGGTGGTTCACTGGAAGGCATATCGGGTAATCACGGCACTTCTTCATTCTCCATCATGCACAGCAGATCTCTACGTGGCATTACCGAGCGCTTTTGCGGGCGGGAGAAAAGTGGCGGCTCACCGACGACACCATGCCAGCTGTCATGTGCATGCGTCCTCCCTTGTTCCGCTGAGGTTGATCAGAGAATCGAGTGAGGAACGACTGCATAGACTTTGCGTACCGCCATTCGTGGCTGCGCGTATGTTTGGGGGGCACGAAGTGCGCACCCTTGGAGTTGCCAGAACTCCGGTTTTGCCTTGGTAGCTCGGCGAAGAGACTCACATCGCTGCGTCCGGAAAAAGATGCATGCACGTATGTATGTATGTATGTATGTATGTATGTATGTGTGTATGTATGTATGTATGTATGTATGTATGTATGTATGTGTGTATGTATGTACGTACCCTCGTCCAGCTCGAGCTTGTTTCCATGGCCTCACATCCAGGACTCCTCCGTGGTGATTCATTTGAGGTCCGTGGCATTAAATTGGATCACCCGCAGCGGATTGTTGACCTTGCCCGGCTCCTCCTGCAGGCGACTCCCCTCTGTGGGAATGCCGTGCAGGTTTGGCAGAAAGGACTGCGCGCATACATACATGCCAAGCCCATTGCAGCCGCGGAGTTGCAGGAGACTTGGAGACAACGGTGAACCCGGACACCGTTCGTCGATCTGCCTCCATCCGGACGTTGGTTGCCATTACGGACTGGGCTCACTTCGTTCTGGAGTTGGGACTTCGAGAGGGCAGCGAAACCATGTGGAAGGCGTTCCTGCACCTCATCAACTGCTCTGCGCTGCACCCGCTCGAAACCATGCTTCGCCGGGACCGTCCCGGCGTGTCGGGACTGGCCAGTCAGGCACGGCCTGTTACATAACTGTTACATGAAAGCCAAGCTGATTCAAGCCCGAGGTTCCCTGGACCTGCACAAGCAGAACGGATGGCGGTTTATCATTGAGAAATGGTCCCAGCTGCGTCGCCAACATGATGTGCATGAATTTCTTTTCTACCTGTCCCGCAGGGCGCGGCTATCCAGTCTTGAGGGGCGACGGCAGATTTGCTCATTTTCTACCTTCAAGAGCACTTGGTAATGCCCCGAAGAGGTGGAGCCCCCGCCCCACGGTGCAACAATGCTGCACTCACTCGATAGGCCTTCCAGTGAACCGTCAGGGCATGTCGACTGTCAAGGACCGGCAACCGGAGCACTCCTTGAAGATCCGGCAGCACTTGATGATCCTTGACGGCGTGCACCTCTCCCATCACTGCGAAACCTTTTCAGTGAAGGAGGATAAGGCTAGGCGGAGCAGACAGCCCGGCACGATACGGCTAGGAACATGCCAGGTGTGGACACAGTGTTGGAGGCTTGGAGCGTTGTCAGTGACATCACGAGTGAGTGGGTCAGTCGTCGATGCGGTATCGCAGACGGAGACGCCTGTGCTGTCAATCCGACGCAGTCGTCCCAGGCGATGCCACATCTGCCACGTTGCAGTCCACTTCTTTGCTGCCACGGATCAGCAAGTCGGCATACATGGCATATATGTGCTGAGGCTGATCGCTGCTGCTACGGTGAGATCGATTGTTCAATCTATGTGCACAGCTATACGTAGCTGCACATCAGTCGGGGGGGGGCACAAACGTGCGCGCCCACAAAAGCGCCGGAGCTACGATTCTGCCCTGCCAGCTACGCGAAACCACACCTTTCGCTGTGTCCGGAAGATGTATGTATGAATGTATGTAGGCATGTGTGTATGTACGTATGTATAGGATCATCAGGCGCTGCCGGATTTGCATGAAGTGCTCCGCCTTCCTGTATTTGTTGACTCTAGCACTCTGGATGTCCAATAGACGGCCTACTGGGTGAGTGCTGCAATGTTGCACAGGGGTGCACATACCTCTTCGGGGCACTATCAAACCCTCCTGCTTCACGAAAATGATTGGTTCCTCACGGACGACGCTCGCTCCGCTGTTCCGCAGTCTTCTGCTTCACTGCCCGATCTCAGCACGTTAGCATACGTCCTGCTCTGCTCCGAAGTTGATCAACGACGATGATGAGCTGTATACAAACGTGTGCGTACTGCTACGAGTAGCTGCGCGTATGTTGGGGGGACACGAATGTGCGCACTTGCAAGGTGCCGGAACCGAAACAGGTTCTGCCTTGTCTAGTTAAACGACGACTCGTTCGCTGCGTCCGGAAGAAGCTGTATGTATGTATGTCTGTCTGTCTGTCTGTCTGTCTGTCTGTCTGTATGTATATGTATGTATGTATGTATGTATGTATTTATGGAAAGATGGATGGATGGATGGATGTACGTATGTACGTATGTAC